GGGGGGGGGGGGGGGGGGGGGGTCCAAATTTCTACCCCTAAACAGTTCAACACTCCTTTCAGATCGTGTTTCACAAAAATTTTGCGTTGGAATGTTCCTGGGATATCAATGCTATACGGTACTTTGAGGTAGAATTTTTTTCCTTCTCGAAACAAAATCATCGCCGATAGGTCGGATTTGGTGGAGAAGATTCAGAATTCAATTCTCTATTGATTGACATACAACTTATACAGGGAATTCATTTCCATCAGGAAAAATTTTCGGTTCCAATAATCATGGGGTATCCATGGTATATCGTAGTTTGGGAAAGAACTTTTTCCTTCTCGAAACCGAATCATTACCGGTAGATCGGATCTGGTGGAGAAGATTCAGAATTCAATTCTCTACCGAATGGCATATAACTTATTCACCGACCGTACTAGTGAGATGAGTTATCCGCAGAAAACTGCAGTCTGAACACAACTCTTCGCGGCTTCTTTGAAAAAGACCGTTTTCTGGAAATCACTCAAGTACGCCCCGTGAATCCAAGCATCACTACCAGGTGCATAATTAAATTCTCTACTGAGTGGAATGTAACTTATCCACCGGCAATACTTGTGAGACGAGTTATTCAAACAAAAGTGCAATATGCACACAACTATTTCCGGCTTCTTAGAGAATAAATGATTTCCTGGAAATCACTCAAGCATGGCTGGTGAAGCGGAAGATCTTTAACAGATGCAGAATTTATTTCGGGTACACTTTAGTATAGCCCTCCCCCCCACTAAACATAAAATCCATGTTCCACTCTCCACATCCTCACCCTCACGGCAAAACTTCACCCTACACCCTCACCCTTTGAGATTTTGCCATAAGCTGCGGTGAGGGTGAGGATGTGGGGAGTGGAACATGGATTTTATGTTTAGTGGGAGCCTATACTAAAGTGTACCCCCTTTTTGGTTGTATCGTTCGAAAGACTGGCTACGAAAAAGCATAATATCATCAATGAAAACATATTGCAATTTCATCAGAAGTACTACAGTTCTCTTGATCATCAATTTTCGATTCCTTGGACATAGTACATATCGAAAACTTGTCAATGATTATTTTTTATTTCCACTGAACAACAAATGCACAAGAAATTTCAAATTAATCTGTTAATGATTCTTGGATTTTCCTTCACTTGTTTGTTTCTTTATCGTTCAGGGCTACATTACTATTACTGGTAGTAAGTAATAGCATATAAGGTTATTAACTATTGTATGTAATTAGAAATAATCTGTGAAAGTAACAGAAGGAAGAAAGTAAGAATGTTATAAAGTAATATAGTATTAAAACTAATATCCATTTCAAAATAAAAGAGCCCTGAGTATTTTTTGAATAACTTTAGTGATAGGAAAGAAATAGAGAGCTGCGGTTTTCACCATTAGAACGAGCGATGTCCGAGCCATCGGTCAGTATAGAACTCATAAAGACAAAAGGTGTTTTTTTATAGGCATTTTCTGATCAACATTTTTTTCTTTGCGTACTTTCATCAATTTTCACAATAATCTCAACTCAAATTATGTCAATATGTAGCTCGAATCACACTTTTTTCGCTATAAATTTATGACAGTTTTCA